CCCTAATCAATAAAATCCAATGAGAATATTATTTAAATAATGACTATACTAACATTTTATAATTTATGTTACATAAACTTTAGGCTAACATTTTCAACATTCTCTTCCCGACCTTTTTTTTCATGTTCCTTCATTAAAACATCAAAATCTTCATTGTGTAACTCATAATGCCATTTGGGCTTAGCATTATTAAATAAAACCCCTAAAATAGAGGTGTATGTCCTATTGAACGCACCACAATGCATAGCTCATTGCACACCCCAAACAATTCAGGAGTACACAACTTTTTCCGACTGTGAAGCATAAGCATTAAGGCGCTTAACATAAACATTATTGTGCGTTGAGCCTTGAGGAATTTTAAACAATTACCGAAACCAACATGAAAACAAAGAAGATTACCTAATAATTTTAAGGCCTTGTTAAACAGAAATGACAAGTTTGAAACTTGCTAAAGAGTTGCAGGCTTGCAGCATAACTAACTCTCCAATAATAAAATTAAGCAAACATATGATAGCTTGTACTAAATCTGTTGTTTGGCAACTTTTGATAATAACTTGTAGTCTAATGAACTAATATGAAATAAAAATATAAAAAAGAAGACTTTCAATTTCGTTTAAATAAGGATCGGTTGTATAGAATAACCTAAAAAAAGATAAATGTAATTAATGAAGCTTTGAAGAAATATTCACTATGCATCTCCCAAGAGATTATATGATCATTATATTATGCATCATAAATAACTACACGAGACATGATATATGAATTAGCTTATAAAAATCATAAGGTTAACAAATGAAGCTTTACATGGAGCACTCAAGTAAATAAAACAATATAGTTGCCTCATACTTGGAACCCTGCAAGTCTAACTTTCATCTCTAATGGAAGATCCTCAACATCAAAGCTACAACTTGTTAAAAGATCACCCACATTAGTATGACATGATGTCCAATTTGATCTCACTAACGATTATAATCTATGAAATATAATGAACCTTCAAAAAATATTAAATCATATCTAGATGAAATTCAGTGAATAGAAAATGGCTCTATTTGACATTGAATCTGATGCTATATTAACTTCTATTTGAAAACCTATATATCATGATCATCTCTAATGTTAAAAATAATACTAACATCCTAAATTACAATCTACAATCAACATTGAACCTAAATAAAAAAATGGATATCCCACGTAAAATGAAATTTCAAGCTGATTATGATCTTCACTTAAGCTTGAGTTTAAACATATCAACATTTCATAGAAACTCCAATAATCTGAATATATCCCTAATATTATTGAATTTGCAAGTATCATAGGAAAAAAAATTGTAGAATCTTATGAAACTATACTTCTATTTTTTGTTTTGTCAGTTTTTCCTTCAGTTAGAGTTCACCTAAATTTGTTACTTATGCAATTTATGTGAATTTTTTATTCCTTCAGTCATCATTCTCCATTTTGTATCCCTCATAAAGGCTTTTGCTTTCCTTCATCCATCATATTCTGCTGCATTATTCATCACAAATCAAATGTATATCCCTGATATTATTGAATTTGTAAGGAACGTAGAAAAAAAATTGTGGAATCTTATGAATGATACTTCAAATTTTCTTTCGGTTTTTCCTTCAGTTAGAGTTCACCAAAATTTGTTACTAATGTATTTCAAAGGAATTTTTCATTCCTTCATTCATCATTCTCCATTTTTTATCCCTTATAAAGGCTTTTAGGAATTTTTCATTCCTTCACCCATCATATTCTGCTGCATTATTCATTCCTAATATGCATAAACTATGCATTACCAGCATGCATGAACAACTTGTTGGGACAGAGCTACTGTATCAATAATATCAAAAAATAGTTAACAAAACACAAACAACGAAACACGTACATTTATGAGAAAAACCCAAGATGAGTAAGAAATCATAGGCAAAGGACAAGAATTCACTATATCAGAAAACAGAAAAGAAGAGACTAGCTGCTCATATAACATAAATGCAAACACTAATTACATATAAATAAATGTGTATGAAAAATAATAAAGAACAATACTAATGGGACATATCAACTCAAACCCTTCTCTAGTAAAATAGATCCTTAAAAATAATATCATAATTAAAATAACAGCAAATATGTCGCATTGCGTGCTTTTCAACCCAAGACAAGCATAGTTTGAGTCACAACATCTAACAGCAACTAAACAATACTAATAATCATTGATAGCTATTGTGAGTTTAATGCATGATTCTATTATTGTTTAAAGTTAAAGTTAAGAAAATAAAAATTTATCTCATATTCATTATACACGAGTTCGACCCCAAAACTACAAGAGACTGCCAATAAGAACCACAAATTATTTTCAGATTAACATCATGTGCATGCACTAGATTTACTTATTGAAATGATTAATGAAACATGGATATGGAGTATTTCAAGGTCAAAAAGACAAAATCTTACATAACTTCTTCAATATAAACTTGTTGAACAACATTGTCCTAGAATTTGCTAAAAGTGCAACTATAATGGATTGTAAATGAGATTATGTCATACAAACTTCTTGCAGCCATATTTCAATTTATCCAAGGTTACTGAATTCATTTTCTACCAAATTGAGCAGTTTATTATATTCTAATATTATTATTAAATGATAATCCTTTGGGAGAATCAATAATCAATATTAAATTGCTTAGTATTTTTTTTCTCTGAGACTTCGAGGAAAAAATAAAAATTTGAAACTTAGAGGTTGGTATTGTTTCTATTTCTTTCCTTTATTCATTTTAATACATCACATCACCTTTTACATATTTTTTTTCTTATTTTCTACTTATCTGTATACTCATGCTAAATAATCATTTAATCAATCAATCTGTCCACACAATTTCCCAGCGCCAACCAGTTTCAGGTAGCCAAGCATCAAATGCTTTTTCAGCATGGCCAAACTTGGTGATGGAGAAACAAAGAAAGGTCCCATGCTCAAAGCTCACCCACCCCCAAAACAAAAAACCAAAAAACAAAGATGATATCCATTCAAAGGAAGAAATAAATGCTCAAACCAAAATGTGACATATGGCCTTCCTTACACATAGGTGGCACGTGCTTGAGCTTAGAAACTCTTTAGCACAACAAGAATATATTTCGGTAGAGCGGTAAAGAGAAAACAAATGATGATATTGACTCCAAGAAACACAGATGCGGCAGAAACATAGAAACCAAACCTGATAAGCTTTCAATGACTGTTCAGCGGCTTCTTTCTTGTCTACTCCAATCTTGAACTCCGCAAGGTAGCGATAATAATCACCCTTCCTGATACATAGTAAAATATAAAAATAAAGCGAATAACCAAAATAATCCCCGAATCCACTGGATCGGAGCGTGTAGGCTAAGATCTTACATTTTCTGGTAGAACACGGAGGACTCCCCAGCAGAAGCCGAAGGAATTAGATGCTCGTCAATTACAGACATTATGTCATTACATATGTTGGAGAGCTCCAATTCCACCTTGTGTCTATACTCCCTAATCTTCTTCACATGATGCTCGTTCCCCTTGGACTCCTCCTTTTGCTCGATCGAAGACAGGATCCTCCAGGATGCCCTCCTCGCCCCGATCACATTCTTGTACCCGACAGAAAGTAGATTACGCTCCTCCACCGTGAGTTCCACGTCGAGCTTCGCCACCTTCTTCATTGCATCCACCATCTCTGGGGCCAGAATGGGAAGCAAAAGTGAGAAGATTAGATCACAAACTAAAACCTAACAAATCCCCAAGATCGAAAATAAAGCAAGAAGCACTCACCATCGTATCGCTCGGCTTGCTCGGCGAGCTTAGCAACGTAGACATGGTTCTCACGCTCTTTCTGCGATGCCATTGCAGATCCCGATCCGTTCACCCCCTTACCCTTTCTACTCTCTCTTTCTCCCTCCCTCCCTTTCCCCTTGACTCGCCTTCTCTTACCCTCCTCGAGATCTAGGGTTTTTTCCCAATTTTTTTCGCTTGACTCGATGAGTTTTGAAAGCGAAGAAGAGGAAATTTGAGCTGAAAAGGGGTTGGTGAACGGTGGCGAGGAATGGGGTTGAGAAGAATTTATGTCAAATGATTGCGAGCGAATGTTACATACAACAAACAAATAAACTTCGTGTTTATTTGCCGTAGGATACGCTTCGAGATTTGAAAATATAGTATTGGGATTGTACCTGATCAGTTAAAGCTCAATTTTAGGGCTATTTGTCTATAACTACCTGTATGAGGACCGCGCAACCATTTATTTATTAAAAAAAGATGAGGCGAATTTTCTTCTAAGTTTCGCTCGGAGCCATTGGATGAGGTGAGAATTTCGATGCCTGTATCTTAGCCGTCCCTTTGCCCTTCGTATTATGAGAAATCTGTAAATTCATAACAATTTGGTTTATAAAATTACACTTTTACTGCTGTATAAGGTTCAAAATTAGAGAATATGCACCTGGTCTTTTTCTTTTAGGAAAAATAATTATATCTGGACTCCAATCAAATTATGTCGCGTATCGTTATATTTTAAAGAATAGATTTTTTTTTGTGAGTGTCGTATGTCATGACACAAATTTATTGGAGTCATGATGCAATATTTTTTCTCTTTTAAGCTGAAACATCTCTGAAGTTTGAAGAAAGATTGACATATTAATGAGCAAATCTTTGTGCTTGAAGTTATTCGACCCTTCTTTTTCTCAACACTTCCTTCATCTTCGATTAAGTTCACACATAATGATTCTATCAATAAAATTTTAAGCCTAAATTTTTTCTCCTTCTCTTTCTCTCTCAAGCCATTTAAGGTTATTGATGTAAAAGTTTGGTTATTCATAATTCAAATTAGAATTTGCATGGTACACACCAAAATCAAAAGGATATTTGACAATGAGGTAAAATTTTTAGAGTATTGAAATAATAATTTAAGAATTTATTGCAAGTTAGTGAAGTCTTTATCATGATTTGACCACAATTTGAGGAAGATTAAGGGGTCGTTGGGGGCGCAGTTTACCTGCGACACATCCCCAAACTATAGTTAATTTTTGTTTGTTTCAGCATTTGCTCAACTGCGGAGAGTGTTTTCAATGAAACACAATAGCAGGGGGTTGGTTCGACCCTACGACCCGCATTTTTTCGTTTTATTTGTCGAAGTTGTCCTCGTCTTTCGACTCCGTTATCTCCTCTTATGCCCTAATATCAACATTTGTCTGTGGAAAAATGATTCTATGATGACATTGTTTGATGGCTTGGTTTATTTCCCCCCGTTTATTTGTTTTTATAGCTTTTTCCTTCTTTGTTGTGAACAATAATATGTCGCCATGTAGTTATTTTTGATATGGAGCAGTTACTATTCAGTTTATATATATATTCAGTTTATATATATAT